TTTACTTAATTGTTTAGTTCTGTTATGCAGTTATGAACCGCATGACAACTTTTTGGTCAACAATGGCCTGCCTATGTGACAGTGGTCCCATAAGATTATAATGGAGCTGAAAACGTCCAATCACCTAGTGACTTCGTAATGTCCTAGCGCGATGTGTTACTGATGTGTTTGTGGTGATACTGGTGTAAATAAACTTGCCAGTCCCATAAAAGTATAGCACATAGAATTACGTACAGTGTACTTGATAATAAGTGACCGTGTTACTGGGTTATGTATTTACTATTTATCCTTTTTTTTAGAGCGTACTTTTTGTACTTACTAAAAGTTTGTTGTAAAAGTACACTGCTCCCTCAGCAGAAGCCTCATATGTCTCATGTTTGCTGTATCTGTTTTTTACATTAGATTTATTGTGGTACCATTGGTTAATAGCATCATATAAGTTTCAGGTGGACAGTTTTATAATACACTGTTGTATATGGCATGTGTGCTCACCACCCAGAGTCTCCTTTTGTCACCATGTATTTGATCCCCTTTACCCTCTTTATTACCCACTCCTTCCCAGCTCTGGTAACCACCATGCTGTTGTCTGTGTCTGTGTCTGCGTCTGCTGCTTTCTGTTTTATCTCTTTCATGAATGAAATCATATGGGTCTTGTCCTTTTCCATCTGACTTATTTCACTTAGCATGATACTCTTAAGATCCATCCATGTTGCCACAAATGGCAATGTTTCATCTTTTTTTATGGCTGAGTATTCCATTTTTTATATGTACCACATCATCTTCATCTACTCATCCATTGAAAGACACTTAAGTTGTTTCCATATTGTGGCTACTGTGAATAACGCTGCAGTGAACATAGGGGTACATATATCTTTACAAATAAATGTTTTAAAATTTTTTGGGTAGAGACCCAGAAGAGGGATTCTGGGTCATATGTTAGCTCCATTCTTAATTTTTTGAGGACCGTCCATATTGTTTTCCATAGCGGCTGCACCAGTTTACATTCCCACCCACAGTTTATGAGAGTTGCTTATTCTCTACAGCCTCTCCAACATTCGTTATTTCTTGTCTTATTGATAATAGCCATTTTAACAGGTGCGAGATGGTATCTCATTATGGTTTTGATTTGCATATAGTCAAGTTGAGCATCTTTTCATATATCTGTTGATTGTATGTCATTATGAAAATTGTCTGTTGAGGTCCTCTGCCTGTTTTTTAATTGGGTTTTTCATTTTGTTTATTGTTGAGTTTATATATTTTGGATATTATCCCCTTAATTGGAAGTATCATGTACAAATTCTGCCCCTATTTGGTTAGTTGCCTTTTTGTTTTAATTTCTTTTGCTCTGCAGAAGCTTTTTTGTTTGATGTAGTCCTATTCATTAAGTTTTGCTTTCGCATCCCTTGCCTTTGGGTCAAGTTCACAAAAACATCTCTGAGACCAAGGTCTATAAGTTTGACCTATGTTTTCTTCTATGTATTGTTTCCGATCTTTAACCCATTTCGAGTTAATTTTTGTGTACGGCGTGAGATAGCGGCATGGCTTTATTCTTTTGCGTGTGGCTTTCCAATTTTCCCAGACTGTTGATTGAAGAGGCTTTCCTTTCTCCATCGTATGTTTTTCGGCTCCTTTGTTGAAAATTAGTTGCCCATATGTGTGTGAGTTTATTTCTCGGCTCTCAATTCTATTCCATTTGTCTGTGTGTTTCATTTTTTGCCAATACCACCCTGTTTTGATGATTGTAGCTTTGTAGAAAGAACACTTGAAAGTCAGGGAGTGTGAGACCTCCAGTTTTGTACTTTTTTTTTTTTTTCCTCACGACTGCTTTGGCTTTTCGGGGTCTTTTGCAGTTGCATGCAAATTTGACGATTTTTGTTGTTCTGTTTCTTCAAAAAATGCCATTGGAACTTCGATGGGGATTGAGTTAAATCTGTGTATTGCCTTAGGACGTATGGCCATTTTAACTATGAAATTGCCTAATGATGCATTTCTCAGAACGCATCCCCGTTAGTTAAATGACGCATGACTGTACATGTAGTGTTTTCAGAATGGTTAACCCATATCTCCTTGGGTAACTAGAGTACTGTGCACGTGTATGGTTCCATTTGCCTTTAGTCTCGTAGACTTCGATCATTCCCATCGTTAAGTCAGCACCTTTCCTCCCTATTCCCTTCAGTGACTTTTTTCATACATTCATTATATAGATTTTTTTTCCTCCCACATTTTGCATTCCATTCTAGGATCCCTTGAGCTCCTAAATAATTTTTTTTTAATTTGCATGCATTAAGGTTCACTCTTTGTTAGGTAAAGTTTTATGGGTTTTGACAAATGCACAGTGTTGTGTATCTTCCTCTTTAATATCATACTGAATAGTTTTACTACCCTAAAAAGAAATCTGTGCTTCACCTAGTCAGCCCTCACCCTCCTCACCCTCCCCACCCTTGGAGCCCCCTGGCTACCACTGATCTGTTTATCAGCTCTGTGGTTTCGCCTTTTTCAGGATGTGGAATGTCTTATAATTGGAATCCTGCGGTCTGTAGCCTTGTCAAGCTGACTTCTTGTAAAATGCACTTAAGATTCTTCCATACCTTTTGTTGCTTGATCCTTCCCTCCTTCTTTTCTCCTCCTCCTCCCCTC